TTTGAAATTTTGTCGAAGGATTTATTTTCAAATCATGCAGCATATTTGTCGCGTTGTACCTAAAAAACAAATTCAAGTAAATTTAGTATAGTATCAAATTTATCTTTAGAATAGTATTTAAAATAATGTAGGTACTTACCGATTTCGACTTTTATAAAAAGCGTTAACCCAATAACGTCTTTTTTTTGGGGGGCACTTTGTTGGCCAAATTTGATTTTAAAATTTCACCACTTGCCATAACATAATATGCAGCAGCACAAATCTTTAGCTTTAATTTTTTATCATAATCACCCATTGTTGTATATTTAATTAAATAACAATAAATATGGTAGTAAAAAAATAAAATTAAACTAAAACACTGCGCAACACATAAAAAATACAAACAAAAATAACCAACGTCCGTTCTCTGAAAGGAAAAGAAACGCAATGATCAATGCAAAGATTCAAACTGGCACGGAAATTTGCCGCGCCTGGAAACGCACCGATCCACGCGCCATGGGATCATGTAGAGGCGCGCTCATGTAGTGGCGCGTGTAGTGACGAAGTTCACGCGCCGCGCCGCGCCACGGGCCGTGGGATCCCACCTTTAAACTTTCAATTTAAGATCCAAGCAAAACTCTTGAGTAATGAGTAATTAACATCGGTTATTATAATGATATTTTAGAAAAATATTTTAACTATAATTACTGCATTACATTTATCCATGGTAACATAAAAACCAATTCATATTATTAGTTACATTGTTTTATAATTTTATCCAAGCCTACGAACATAACCGAGCGGCTCACAACAGTCATTGTATCCATGTCAGTAATGTTTGAGGAGGACCTACTCGGTTATAAACAACATACTAATTAATTGTGTGTTTTATCTACATTAATAGTGTGTTGGACTGTAGTAAAATAAGTAAACAAAAACAATTTACCTATGAAAAAAGAACCAATGTAATTTTTCATTTAAAAAATGTAAAAAAAATTCCAAGTTGGGAAACGAAATAAGCGTAAGGTTACTCTACAAAATCCAACATATGAAAATCTGGAGCAAAATATAAGACAGTAGCAGTGGCCTACATTTAATCTTGCTCTGGAGGGAGGGTGGTTAATAAAAATAATCGTTATCTTTTTTTTTTCGTTGCACAGATAAATAACTGCTATAAATAGATATTATTTTATACAAATTTTTTACCAATTTACAGTTTATTTTTACATTACAATTAATTAATATCTATTGGAATATAAAAATAGCATAGTTAACAAAACTTTTCAAACACCTATCAGTATAATTATTTAACTATCGTAATATTTGTAAATTTGTATATTTTAAGTTCAAAATACCAAAAAAGAGATGGTTGGATACGATTGAGAACAATATGAGGGCCGTTATTGTATGGGTAGAGTATATAGAAAATCGAGACGAGTAGAGGTTTAGGATAAGGGTGGCCAACCCAAATAATTGGGAAAAGGCGAATAAAAAGAAGTCACTTTATAAATAATATACATACTTCATACATCGCACAATAATCATATTAATTTATAATCTAGTTTTATGTTTTTTTTTTTAACATTTTGTTTGATATGAATATAGATTATTATATTTTTATTGGTCATTTAAATTTCATTATTAACAGTTTCTATTATACATACATATCTAATTTATTTCATTTTTTTAAATTAATTTTAAATTGTACTAGAAACACAGCCCAAGGCCGCCAGTTACTTATACAAATCGATGTAAAGGAAATTCAAATATTTCGAACGCTATAAATTCAGAGTATAGATAAAAAGATGTTATAAAATATTTAATGAACATGTGCTTATTTGGCATTTTACTTTTTCCTCTTAACGTCATTTTATCTTATTATAATAACTATTGTTTCAAAGGTTTAAGTTATGTTAATAGATGGTTTATTTTTCGAATTTAAGAATTTTTAATAAAATATATTCGTAAATATAATTAAAAGAACGATCTTACGACAATCCATAGATGATATAGGTGGTAGGCCATTATTGGATAAAAATTAAAAAGGCATATGTAAATTTATTCTACATTATTTTTTTGTCACCTAGTATTATTAGTACTTCAAAAGACTGGGTGAAACACGATTAGTTGTCGAAAGATTATTTTTAAATGATGTAAAAAAAAAAAAATAGGTGATGTAAAATAGATAAATTTGTATATAAAACAACATGTTATCATATTATAGATGTTTACTTTTTATAGCAGCATTAAGATTTATTTTTAATAATTAAGCGGAGCAAAAATGAAATACTACCATCATAATCATACTATTATTATACAATGACTTTTTTGAGAAAAAAATGGTTTGTCAACCAGTAAAAATTCCTTAAAAAACTTCACTGTATGACATAGTGGCGTATACAAGGGGGGGATGTGGGGGTCAGATCTCCCTTCTAGGCCTTTTTTTAAAAGTTATAAAATACTGTTCTTAATGTGAGGGCGTTAGAAACGTGAAAAATAATAATGATAGAATAAAAACAATGATTTGTTTGCAAATGATCATCCCCCCTCCCATACAAAAGTTATGTATACGCCACTGATATGACACGGTTTCCCTGTAGATTTTTATTTTCGTTCAGGCATTTTAATCGCAATATTTAACGATAAAACGATCTTGGCGATCGTTTCTTTGTTAAAATCGCTGCGGGTAAAATTGACAAGTAGGTATATAATCTGTCAAAAACACAATATCTACACGTGACTGGACAGGAACAATATTAATTCGTTTACGTCGAACACACATTCGAAATTACCTAGGTACGCACACGTCTTTTTTACAGTCGTACAAGTGTAAATTGCTGGTAAACATGATAAAGATCACATACGTAGGTATTGGAAATGGGTTTTTAAAAATATACTAATAACAAAAACATTTTTTGGTATTAGTTTTCCTGTATACAATTTTTTATAAATCGCAGTTGTGCGGCATTACCCGTGAAAACAATTGTCTATGAATACCCTCCAATTTTTAAGTTTCGGCTTAAACAGAACATAATTTATTGAATGAAAAATAAAGTTATCATTATTATTCGGAGCACAGCACGTTTAAATAGAAAAATAATTATTGTACACATATTCCCTAATTAACATGTTAATTGACAATAAATAACATGGTTTTTTATAAAATCAAGAAAACAAGAACTAGGTATGGTTTTTTATGTGCAGACATTGTTCTGCGGTCGTTTCACTTTAAAAAATATATGGTTGCAATTGTAGGTACATTGTGTGTTACACTGTTTTAAAGTTTTGATTTAACAGTGTAGGGGCAGGAAGGTATAGCTCATTAAATAATGGTGTGACTCGTATATTGTAATAACCATATAATAATTTATTTGTACAATTATAGTGTTTATTTATTTGTAAAAATAGCGTAATTCGTATAGTTATTATAATAACCATATGATAATCCATGTGATTTAATAATTTATTTATACAATAAAGCATGGGAAATAGTAAACTTTATATACTAAAGCATATACACTAAATTATGAGATATTTTATTCCGGTTTGAAGATTTGTCCCGACTCGGGGAAATAGATTTGCGTCACGTTGAAACCAATCCTAGACCGAACGAATATTTCTTTATCAATCTTCGATGGCCGCGTCCGTTTCGCCGAAATTAATGTTTCTCCGGTTCTCCTGCTGGTCGATGATACACCGGATGTCAAACGCGCCGAATAGGTGGTGGTATAATGGTTTTCGTCGGAAACAGAAACCAATTTTGGAAACAGAAAGTGCATACACTTGCGATAAAAGCTTTGGCTTGTTTCTGAGTGCGGTGACTGCAGTTCATCGGTGTACGTTGAACTACTGCAAAAAAAAAAAAAAAAAAACGAGTTTTATATAGAGAATAATAATATTAGTTATTAAACTTTGAACCCTTGATCTCGGTAAACGATTCTAAATGAAAGAAGTCGTATAGATGAGTTTTTATTTTTAAAGATGGTTGATAAATAATAATAGAATCGAATTTTTAAATAAGGTTGGTTTAGCATTAAATCAAAAATGTCAAGTAAATAAACAGCACAAATTGCATTAAGATATTTTGAAAATTATAACATTCCTATAAAATTCTAATATAAGCAATTAATTAAACTGTGCGTGATAAAATATCAACTGAATTATCAATTTACAGTTAAAATATTAATAGACATTAATGTCCAGTTCAATTTTAAGTACCTATTAGATATATAAAATTATTAAAAATAAATTAAAAAGTAAAATAGAAATAAAAAAAAATTATATTAAAAATATTCTAGTTGATTATCATATTGCACTGTTGCACTGTACTTACAATTAAAATGTCAGATGTTTTCAAACAAAAAACAATCGATAAGTTAACAAATGTTTGTATTAATGATGGGTCGAACCTGATTTTTCTGATAGAATTTTTAAAAATATAGAGTACAAATAACATTTATATTTTTCCTTTTCGCTTTTATAAAAAAAAATTGTGGTTTTGATCATATTATCACACACAGTGGCGGCGCGAAATATTTTACTTCATGAGTCCTGTTAGGATTTTGCTCACCCACCCACCCACCTAAAAAGAAATTTAAGGGTAGCTTATAAAAAGATCTTCCCCCCTATTCTTTCTACATGCTACATACCCACTCGATACCCAATGGCCAATACCCACCCACTGACTTGAGTCCAAGGACTCAAAAATCTGCCGTCACGCCACCACTGATCACACATCATATGAAAAATAATCTGTAATTATATTACCATTAGATATTTACAAAAATAATCACTTGCTTCAACATAGAATTATTTTATTTTATCATACCCAGAGTCGGCTTTAGATATGATCGACGCGTGAAACGACACAGAGCGTCAAAATCAAAAGGGCGCGTTAGAGGCATCAAAAATATAATTAAATTTGATCAATCATTGGCGACGCGAATTATCTACTATAGATAAAAAAAAATTAAGGATGTGATTCAATATAAATTTGATTGCTATTATAATTATCATTGTTTATTATTCTATCAACATGCAAAGATTGACCGCGCTTGTAAGTACAATTACAGTTTAATAAACTATCACTAATTTATTATATTTGTTCTATGAGTGATTTACAAATACGTGGCAATTATACACCCTTGAAAAATTATTTTGAACATTTTTAAATGAGGCTTAGGTTATAATATGTATGAGGCTCATCCAGCTCCCAAAATGCTGCCTGTTTAAGTTAATGTTTAAGTCGTTTAAGATAGAGGATTGCCAAAATATTTTTTGCACTTAGCGCTGAAAGAACTGAAGCCGGCCCTGATAATATATAATCGTAATAATATAAAAAAAATAGTTAATACTATTATGATACTCAGATATGGAACTAGGAATTTTTACGCCCGGGTAAAATGTTAAAACTACACTCTATCCATAGACTAATAAATAAATACTCAAATAAATTGTGTTCTTATAATCAATATACAATCGTACTTATTAAGTTTTAACCTAATATCAGTATTTAACGAAGTTAAAAATATCAAATTAGTTGTTAATAATTACGAAAATTACACCTTCTAAAATGTTACACCCGGGGATAAATCCTCGACTTCCCCCCCCCCTAGATCCGGCCCTGATGATACTTACTATAACTAAAAAATATAGAAAATTAATTTTATATTGTTTGATTAAGAATATTTTCAAGTTCAAATTTCGAATATACCTAAATGGTATAATTAAATAATAAATAGTTCGATTCAATTTTCTTTCATTTTGAATTCGGTTCGGTTCGACCCATCACTAGTTTGTACGATGAAAAACTTCGCTCAATATCAACGAACGTTATGAGATTATACTTGAAGTAGATCATGTAATCCATAGTTAAATCTTTTGGAATATCTTCTATTCAATAAGTGTGTATAATCGGCGTATGTGTGAAAAAGTACTCGTTTTATAATTATATAACACGCATTAATCCAGTGCCGTCGTTTAGCAGACAGGCAACTTAGGTAATTGCCTAGGGCCTCGCACTTAAAATAAATTCGGGGACCCACAATTTTGTCAAGTTAGATAATATCTATATATATTATATATGTATTTAGAAGCAAAGAAATTGTAGTCATTTTTGTTTAGGGTCTTGCAAAAACACATATACTATTCATGTGTTCCTATGCGTTCAGTGTAAAAACATCTTTAGTTATACTTTTTTTTATCAAATAAATAATAATTAATAATCAGTATTTTTACACTTAATGCGTAGAAAGACTAGTATACGTTTTTACTAAAATCTCAGTTTCATAAAATAGATAACTCGTGACGTTTCTGCAAACATCGATTCCTTGTTTCACTTAGAATCTAAAAATATTAGTATACTGGTAATACTAGTAGAACAAGATTAATAACGCGTACGCAGGGTTTTCCGGAGCCAATAAAGGATGCATCTCGTCACCATTTTTTTTTCTTGATTTGTGGCTTGAAACCTGCCGTTTTTTATTCTTTCTTTTTGGAATTATTGCCGAAGATTCATTTTTCACGCATCGACCTGTGACTTTGTATTCGGTCAGAGGCGTTCCGTGTTGTGCCCCTGAACCGCAGTTGTCTTTTTTTTTCGACGGCACACAGTTATATTCATCAATCGAATACTCCATCCCAATATTATTGATGTGCAGTAGTACAGTACTAAGTATGTTCAATTCTTTATTTTTCTGATCGAACAATAATCATGTATTTTATCATATGAACCAGATGATTAGGTATTTCAATATTGTTTTTATAACCAACAAATATTAATATATTATTATACTATATTAAATGTATTAATTTCAAAAGACAAATCAATAGAGACGTGTGACATTATAAGTTTTTATTATAAATAATAATCGAATACGTACCGAGATTGCAAAGTCTTTTAGAGTTCATGACCTAACATAAAATCTTCCCATAGTAAAATACTTAGCGTTTTGAATTAGAACGCTACAACAGAATTGTTATCCGATAATCGATATGTCTACATGGAAAAAAAATATAGATTCAGTTATGATTCAATTTAAATTGTGCTTCTGCTTTACGAATTTTAAATCGATTGAAAATTCAACATTAATGATTTCGGCGTACATAAATAAATATTACATAGAGAAACTATAGATACGCTTTATGAACTCATATTGTGATGATTATTGAAATACGATATAGCTTTAAGGAGTATCATTTTTTTTCATAGTTACTATATGAGTAATTCTACAAGTGTCGTAGTAAAAATGCAGCATATTTTTAATCGTAGTATTGAAGGGTACCTACTTTGTTTTAAGACAGCTGTAAAGGATACTTCAAACGATATAGCTGGTCAATAGTGTAGGTAATAATAATCTTTCCTATAATATAGATAGCTTTAAAATAAAATATAATATAGTATTCTGTAGCATAACTATACAAAACTATTATCAACCATATGTAACTTTAAACTATTATTATATGAATTCTTTAAATTATTATTTTGAAAAAAAGAAAAATCATGTTAAAAAGTTTACTATTTATAAAATCAAACGATTTTATAACGTACCTATATATATTTTAGTGCATAAATATTTTCTTAAGTATAAAATACGTAGGTATTTACTTACTACTACGTGGCTATAGGAAAAGAAGCTTAAGACCTAATTGGATGGAAAGGAACTTTAAAATTAACTTGGGAGAGTATTGAAGAAGCATCAAAACGTCCGTAAGTTAAAATTGTAATACAATAATTCGTATAATATTCGGTATCAGTTACTTAACTTTTAGAAAATATGATCCATTAATTTATTGAAAATAACACATAGATAATTGATTATAATCATTTCTAGGTAAATTATATCCATACAAAACAAAAATCAAATAAATTTTGGAAAATCTATTTCAATGCTAATTAGTATTGCAGAATTTAAATTATACTCTAAAACTAGCTTGATATAGTTAAGAAAAAAGTATCAAATCTTATTATTTTCTATACTAATCTTTATTTTTATTAAAAACAAAGGTACAAAATTAAATACCTACATTTCAATAAGTTACAAATATCATAGAATAGTAAAATTGAATCTACCAAAAATAATTATAGATAAGTATAATTACTAAGTACAAACCTACTTCATTAATAATAGTTCAATAGGAATCAAGCAAAGTACCTACTCAATGAACATTGTATACCACAGACACGTTTCTAGTTACTGTACAAACTTAACGAATACAAAATTATATATATATTCAAAATCAATTTGGCAATTTTACTTATAATTTATTGTTATATTTATAATTCAATTTAATTTTGAGATGTTCAGACACTGAAATTATACCTATAGTAATTTATTCCATCATAAGAATAAATGAAATAAAAGAAATAACTTTCTAAAGATGGAAATATAAAACCAACCAAATAAATCTTATAAATTATACCATTGTGACCATGTTCTTACAATACTTATTAGCAAAAACCATTCAGACATCTATCACAACCTTTATAGGTTATAATATAAAATATAATACATATGTACATAAATATATATATTGTAATTAATAAAAATAGGATTTTTAATAAATTTTACAATTTAATATTTACATAATAATAATTATTATTATTATTATTTACCCACTATTAGAGACTTGTGACAATAAATTATCTTTAAAAAATATGTAACTATAAAAATAAATTTACAATAGGTAAGCATATTTAAGTATGAAATATATTATGTTGATTAGATAACTATTATCTATAAAGTTATTGGTAAAAATATGTTGTCAATTACATACTCTCCTAATTGTACATGATACTTATATAATATGAAGAACCAATTATAATCGTATTTTAAATTAGGTTCACAGATGATTTTTGGTCCCAAAAAAATATACAATATTAAATAAATAATAATTGATAATATAAATTAAGAAAAGTTTAAATCTTAAATAAGTATCATCAATTAAATAGCCACATAACAAATTTATTCAGATTTTTTTATGTTTTCTAAGACACTATTTATTTTATTTTTAAAAGCTCCAAATGAAAAAATATCATCAAATCTTTTTTTACCACGTTTTCCAAATAACTCTGCTTTTTCCTCATTTTCTACAATCAGTTTTATTGCATTGGCAAAGTTTTTTGGTTTTGCATTTTGTAAGAATCCATTGTAATCATTTTCAATTGTCTCTTTTGGTCCTCCATTATTTACAGCTACAACTGGTTTACTACAGTACATAGCTTCTAATGGTACAATACCAAAATGTTCATTGGATGGAGTATACACCAAGCATGAACACTGTCTAAGAAGTGATATTTTTACTGTATCTGAAGGTGACTTCAAAAATATGATACGATTACTAAGATTCATGTCTTGAACAAGTTTAACAAGTTCTTGAAAATATTCTATATTCTCCAAATTAAAAGGATCATAGCCTCCCGCTAATACGAGTTTTATATTTTTTTCAGTTAACAAACTTAAACTATGAATAGCTAATTCTAGATTTTTTTTTCTCTCAAATCTATTTATTGATAAGATGAATTTACCACTTTCTACTTCTATTATGTTGTCCAAATTAACACTTTTGGTATTGTCAAAAATAGCAGTATTTATAGAAGGGTAAACAACTTCTGGTAGTTTTTCAATACTTCTAAAAGTATTTTTAAACACACTCAATGTAAAATAACTATTTACTAGAATGGAATCGGCGCACGCAGTAGTTTTCTCTTCCAACCAATCCAACGGTAATCGATAATAACGTTTTAGAGTATTATCATGAGCGGCCAACAACTGATCTGGGTAATGACAATAGAATATGATTTTACACGTCATATAATTCAATATTGGTATGCAGACTGATATCTGGTCAACAAACACCACATCCGGATTAAACGAACTGAAAAAGGTCAAGTACACAGCAGCATATATCATGCGCACATAACTGCACAGTGCATAACACTTGCCCAACACAGTCCTCGGCAGCCAATTGCCTACGACCATCACTGGTAATGTGCCGTCTTTGGTCTCTTCAAAACAGTGAGAACTATTGTGATGGTTAGTGATGAACTGCACAGAGTGGCCAGATTCTTTCATCGCTACAGCTGCATCGACCACCAACCGTTCGGCTCCACCAATGCCCAGATCCGGATGTAAGAATACAACATTCAATTTCATTACGATAATTTAAATTTACAATCTCATCACGAAAACCCAAACACAGTGCAATTCAAATAATTTATTGTTATTATTTCATGTTAGTTATCGGCGTGTACAGATCATAGAGAAAAATTTAAAATTTCGACAACTTCGATTGACTTCTTATCAATTTTCACCTAATTTATAACACCGATCTAGTTATCAAAGATTAAAATCATGGATCGTTGTAGAAAACCATGGAAAAATAAGTAGTGGGACTATCAATGTGTATTGACTTATCAAAAACAATAATAATAATAAATAAATAATAATTAAAAATATAGTTGCTCTCCAAGTTCCAATTCGTTTCGTTTGAAAAAATTAATTTTACGGGTTATTTTTTAAATAATTCGCAATGTCCTGGCAAATCTCTTAACTATTTCGTATACCCGTATTCCAAGTAAGTTCATTATGTCCAACTGGTAAGACATATGACTCAGTTCAAGGACTTTTTTAGAATTTTAACCCACTTTTAGTATTATAAAATAAAAAATTTTTTAACGCTTCTTTGTTTTAACATTAATTTTTTTTTCCTTGTAGTTTATACCAAAATGACTGATGACTTATCTCGTGCTGAAGCAGCTCAACGGCGACAAGAACGCTGGGAGCATCACATGCACGGTCTTTGCATACTTGACAATCATTTGAATGTTGAGATGGAAATAGCCTCTCATCAATCGACTGTGTTAAACCATCTAGTTGATCAGGCCAACAGGGTTAAAGATTTGTGGCTTGAGTTTCAACGTAAATCCGATAACGGATGTGTTTTAGAAGATACTGCTGTACAAATGGCCATTGAACAGCACGGCCTACAGAGTCATAATTTCCATCAACCGCAATTGCAAAATATAAGAGTACATTTTTGTTTTACTAATCTTGTATGCCTTTTTGATTAAATTCACTCTAATTTTTCTTTGTTATAGATTATGTCTCAACCTTTGAATAAACCTTCAGACATAGACTGTGAAGATGTATTCAACCAAGCTGTAAATGCAGCAATTGTTGCTAATGGATTGATGACAGCTTCTCAACAAGATAATTATATGTAATATTTTTATCGAAACTTATATCATCATAAGGGACATTACTTTAAAAAAAAAAAAAAAAAAAAAACTAAATACATTTCTATGTTTAATAACACTATTTACTATACCTATACTATTTAATATATCTATCATGAATTCATAATAATACTATACAACTTTAATTGAATTAAACAAAAGCAAATTAAATTAATAGTTATATATTTTACATTTAAGTATTAATTTATAAAATGTATTCAAAAAATATCTTAAGAACCCAAATTGTTTTATTTTAGTAATGTACTACTAACTTTTTTCAACCTTGTTATGCTTTACCTTTTCGTTTTGATTTATTTATTTATTTGAGTTTTAATTTGTTTGTCTTTTCTTTTCTTTTTTTAAAATAGACATGTTTTATTTTTCTCATACTATTTATGTTTAATAATTAAGTTTTATTATTTTACCAAATAATTTTTTTATTTAATTTGAACTTAATAATATTGGATTTTAATATATTTTATTATATAATATGCTTAAATAAAAAAAAAAATCATATCTTGGTAAATTTAAGTTAAATATTATGTTAGTCCCTATTGATTGATAAATTAATAAAAGGTTTAAGTTAACTAAAAGTGGTTTTAACCACAATTCAAAATATATATATATATATATTTTGTTTTATAGAAGTGTTCAAATTACTATAATACTAAATGTAAATTTACATGCATTTATTCTTATTTTTACATTATATGGTTATTAATCCCAAACTTTAATTATCATAGATTAATTATTCCACTAATTAGATTTAAGAATTTATTGTTCTCTTAAGTAAAAGTACCTATCTTTTTAGAAAATTTAAGTTTTTTAATTTTATTTAAATCACTAAATTAAAAAATATTGAACTCAGTATTTTTGTGTTTGTTTTTATTGTCTTAACCAATAATTATAGTAGTTATATTAGAAATATAAAATGTTTTTTGTGATTTTCTTCTCATTTTCTATTCTTAATTTGTACTATTGTGTTATGTTTTTTGATAAATATATTTTATTTTACTATATTAATTATATTTTACTTAAATTACTAGTAATTAGTTAGTTATCTATGATTGCCTCATTTTTTATTTGTGAATATTTCTATAAAAAATTTAATTTTTCATTTTATCATTGTACAATAATCTACCGTTTTAATTTAAGTATTTCAAATTACATACAAATGTATGTACCTAATTAATTTTAAAAGAATATTAACTATATCGTTTTTCTTGTGCTATTGTCATTCTTAAGTTGCAATAATTTAGTTAAAATATATGTTTAATTTTGATTTATTTAGAATATTAGTAATTTATTTTAATTAGTAATGATTATAAAATATTTATTGAATTTAAATCTGTAATCCATGACTATTGTAGTGCTTTACACAAATAATTATAATCTATTTTACTTAAATTTTATATTTATTTTAACCCTACTTTGAAACTACATACAATTTTCAAAGGTTTATGCATTCTCCGTAATATTGGTATTTATAAAATCCATATTTTATATCCATTTGCTGAAACCAATGACAGAATTTTTTTAATTTATTTTTAGAATATTATAGCAGTGTAGAATTATAGTATTATTAATATAATGAAGTTATTGATCTTAAATTTACAGTCTAGGTATTTAATAAACCAAACAAAATTGTATATTCGCTGTACAATTATTAAAAAAATTAATATGAATTGACAACCCCATATATAGCCGTCATAATTTTTTTTTTTTTTTTATATATATTTAAATACAAGTAAAAGTTTAAATTTCTTGAATTATTAAAAAAATTACTAATATTCTAGCTAAAATGACTTAATTTTTTTTTTTCGGTTTTTAAGTGATATTAATACGATTAATATATCTTTTTAGCCAGTGCCTATTTTTTTATTAATACTTGCAGACCACATTTGTGTACAGTGTACCCAGGAATGTAGTGAAGGATATGCATGGGTATGTGACAATTACCCACTTTCCAAATTTTAAAAATGGAACATACTAAAGAAAATAAATGGATTAAAAAAAAATTGTTAAGAAATTAGCATTTTAATCAGGATTGAAAAGTATAAAAAAGATATTATTTTACATTGTTTTAACAATTGTTTTACGCCATATAAAAATAAAAATACATTTCTAATTTTAACTTGAAATAAAAAAAAAGAAATGTCAATTATAAATAGAAAATTTGAATGCTATTAATCTATTATTAATAATTATCATAATTTTACAGCAGATGAGTTTATAGTAAATTAATTGTACTTATTATATTTATAACAATTAATATTTTTATATAATTGGATTATATAGAAAACATTTAAGTGTTTAATTGTTAATGTTAATATTTTAGGTTTAATGTATTATTTAATAAAAAAATGTATCAAATGAAATAAAAAAATACTCTTATTTTATGTGTAGATATACCTATATATCAAAAATCTAGATTGGTGAGTATTTCAAAAACACAACATACGTTTTAGTCTTTGTATACGTTTTATACGTGTGACGAGTAGAACGTTTTCTAGGTGTATATCATCAACACTGAGTTTTATCAAGTACCCTGAAGTAATAAATTCGGATCGCACCACGGTTTAGGGATTATTATCACAGATATCAATATCATACACATCGAGACAAAGAATAAATTTACTCTTAATGCACGTGGACGCAGTGTAGGGGTGACACGATATCTCCACGGGAAAAGGAAAGAAATAAGGAAATAATTAATTTTAATAAAATTATATTATTATCACAACTGTCATGTAAATAGCATACCTTGAAGTTTGGATCTTTATATTATTTAGATCCGATAAAGTATTATTATTAATGCGAAATCGCTGTATTTTCGATTATTATATCGACTTAACCGGGGTCGTTAGTCAGTTATTTTGCAGTCGCTAGATATGTAGTATTATTGTAGTATATTATAGCTCTACAACTCTAGAAGACAATACGAGATCCGGTCTTTCCACCATCATCCCTCGACTTTCTCAACTTTGTAAAAACCACCAGGGACCAATTTCTCATCAGTTTTTATACAAAATCATTAATATTTTTTATCTTTTAATTTGAAAATTTAAACTTTGAATGTCAATGTTTATTGAACCCTGCAATTCAATAAATTGTAAGTGTACACTTTTTTTGTTGTTATTTCAAGAATAGTTCTAAAATACGCAGTTAAGATTATTTATTATTTTGATGTTAGTGTGATGCGGTGTTTTATTCTAGTGGCTTAAGGTGATATGAATGAGAAAAGGATGAGAATCACTGCTATACATAATATAGACATCTGCGATTATTATCTACAAACGTTGTCGCACAACGTGCTCAGCTATCAGTAAATTATCGTTAAGAGTAAGTTGCGCGCCATCTTCATTGCTGATCGCCGAAGATTTTTTTTGAACATCAAATTCTTATATACCGTGCACTATTAGAGTAAGCATCTGTATGGACACGACACTAGCGAATATTTTAATCGTGCGTTGACGGTACAGAAGTCTGTTCAATGACGGAACAACAGTGAATTGATCAAATCGTGCATCTTGAATGTAGAAGTAAGTTTATGAACTGTGCCACGGTGTGAGATATTACGGTGCTATAAATGCTCAACGGCTTGGATCACTACCGTACTTAGATGTTTCTTCTTCTCCCTCGCTCAGGTGTATATATAAATATATATATATATATATATATATATATATATATTATACATTTTTAAATATGATATTTAACTTCAACGACAATAAAATTAATGCGTTGGTAAAAATAAACAAATGTATCAATAAAATAACAATTTATAATATATTAGACTAATTAAATTATTATACTTCTATTATATTAAATACTTTACTTCTATTGTTTTAAAATTGATTTTAAAAAAAGGTTACATCCTTTTTAGTATTTATTTATGGTTTTAATTAAAGCATTAATTTGGTATTACATATGTACATACTTTTATCCATTTTTTTGAGTTGATTTACAATAAATACTACTTAATTGTAATATATTTAACTATGTAAAAAACGAATGTCATATCATTAGAAATCGTAAAGATGTAATATCTACACTTAATATATTATTTTTCATCGCAGAAAATATGATTCTACGATATCTAATACATTATAACTTATTATATATGCAGTTATTGAAATGATAATTTTACTTTTTTAGTGATAACATAATACATGGTTATAGTTAAATGCAGTATAGAAGTCGTCATTATATTATATAATAATATAAAATAATGTTTAACTGTTGAACGATAGGAATTCTGTATTAAAATTATTATATAATTAAACTGTACTTTTTTACACTCAATTACATTTTATAAACACAAATATACTATATTTATACATTGCAATTTTCAATGTTACATATTACACGATCACATGTTCTGCACCTAAAAAAATTATTTTTGTCCCTTTGCAATATGTCTGCATGGTGCTTTAAACACGGTTCTTTGACATCAATTCTGCATTACAAATTTGCTAACTTGGGTGATTTTTTATAAGACTATTGAAGACTATTATTATTGTTTTCTGTATTAATCATTAAAAGCTTCAACTGCATATTATTTATATGTTTAATAAGTAGGTATAGTAAACCTAATGTAGTTCAATATTTAATAAACTAACAACTTTTATTTCAGAATATTTTTGTTGGTATAAACAGTGGTGTACTCTGCAGGGTTCAAGGGTAGCAGCTGCTACCCCTGATTTTTTTGGTGGTTGGATGGACCTCTAGCTCCAAAATATCTACATCATAATTCTACTATGCATAAAAATAAACTATAGTATAATATAATAATTAGACTATTAGCTTATTTACAGGTAAATGACAAAATCATTAATAAGTATTTATCATTGACAGTTATAACATCATTGACAGTTGAAGAAATTTATCAATAATAACAATAACAACTTATTAGAAAATACTCTACTATATTAATTTCTATTTATTTACAACATTTTATAACCGAGTTCCAGTATGCATACATGTAATTATTAAGCCTTAAAATAATAATAATTATATTTGCTATTGCATGAATGGTATTTGTAGTTAAAATGTATATTATATATATATATATAAATAATAATTAGCCGAGAACCTATATTTTATTTAAATTAATATTATATTCTTTAATATTATTGGTTTAGTTGAAGATTAAGAAAAAAAAATTAATATCTTAATTATATATGTTATTAATAGTATAGTCATAATTACTAACAAGGTTATACATTATATTATTTAAGGGAGTGTGGAGAAAAAGTCTCCACAGGTCTGTTTTTTAAAGTGACTTGTGGTGTGGGTGATATTTATGTATTCATAATGCTACTTATTTATTTTTTAATGTATGTCACTGGGTATATAAAGATGCTTGTACATTGTAGATTTTTTCTCGTAGAGTTACTTTAGTTAGAGCTCTTTACATTCAATCTAGAAGTGTACATAAGATCTAGAGTGCTCTAGCGGTTGCTTCTCTAGGGTCTAGGTAGACTAAATAGAGTAAACTAAAATCTACAATGTACACGGAGATTCTACACTATAGCTAGAGCAGTCTAGATCTATGTGTTCAGTTGAATAGACTAAATAGAGCACGTGGACATATTTGAATTACTTATCAACAGTGTTTTCGATATTGTTTTTTTTTGTATACATATTTTGTTTGAAATTATTTGTACAATGACCGTAGTTGTGTGGGACAAGCAAAAAACCTATTAACTAATTGAGCTTCTTAAATCGTCTCCTGCACTGTGGAATTGTGCACTACAGGAATACAGAGATAGGCAGGTAAAGGCCAAATGTATGGAAACAATTGCACAAAAATTAGAAATAACTTCTGCGAAAGTTAAAAGAAAATTACACAATCTTCAGTATCAAATGAATAATAAACTCCGAAAAATAAAAAATAAGTAGAATGGAGCAGGTACAGATGAGACCGTGAAAAGCTCTTGGAAGTTTTTCGATTCACTGAAATTCATGACTGGCATTTTTGAATGTGTGAAGAAACTTACTGAATTACTTTCAGTAACTTTGCGAGTGCACTCCTTCGGTATCTCTATTTGATATTCAATTTCTTACCCACAACCTCTTTGTTTTTTTCATTTTTATTTCCTGTTTTTTTTTAATCAAACTACACATTATAATTGTAGCTGCAACGCGTTTGCGGTCCGACATTTTCGTACGAAAAAATATTGTTGCCAACTTGCCCAAATGCTTTCTCAATGATAATTAGGTATCTAGACTATCAAGTCTGACTAATGTACATGGGTCGTAGACTTATCTAGGTAGATTTAATCTATGCGCTCTCATATACTACTCTATTTAGAGCACATTTCACTATAGTGTAAACACACTTCTAGTGCAGTCTATTTAAACCGATCTAACTCTAGCTGTATTTCTCTCTACAGTGTACAGGCACATTAAGATTTAAACATTTTATATTGTAGTGAAAAACTTGAGTTGGTACACACTTTTATTATTATTAAACTGTATAACTTCATTATTGATGGATGCCTCATGCTTATGATTTAAATGTTATATTAAAAAAAAAAAAATTTTAAACTATTGTTGCAAATATTGCATTTTGAAAAATATGATTTTTGACAAATTATATTTTCTAATTTATAAATATTTTTTTTTTTTGTCTTTGTAGTGAGTATTTTGTTGGAAATATTTTGCTACACCATTCATATAAAAAAGCTATCTATAAAATAATTATAAATTATGTACACTATTAAACCTTATAGAATTTTGTCACAGATTTTAGACTTCAGCAGTACATTATAAATAATCAAAAAATATAATTTGTATTTATATTTAGTTTTGTCATGGCATTTTAAAAATAATAACTTGTTTGGTATTGAATTCTTTAAAATTAAAATTTGGCTCTAAAAATATTAATAAATCTATATTATCTATATCCAGCACATGTTTACAATCTTTAGTGCATTTCTGTATTTAAACTACGATTGTAGATAGGATCATATCTATAACCGTGATTTAAATGCTCCTGGCGTACCCGTTGCTATCTATTTATCATTTGACTATTGGTCGGGTCCAAATGTAACAGTGAATTCGGTGTACTATTTTTATTTTTTTTTTTATACTTATTTTACGACTTTTGTATAAACTTTGAACAAAAATGCTCCAAGTTGGATCAAGAAGGTAAATCGTCGTTGTTGCTTTTATGTTTTGACCTTACCCGGTCGCCCGACGGATCCAATCTGCAGTTGCGTAGCAAGGGTACGGCTATAAAGTACAATACCCTACAATCCAATCAAAATTTTTCCATTTTACTGTTTATAATACGTATATGTGGCCTATTTGTACAGTGTACATCAGTGTAAATTTAACGATGAAATTATGAAAATGGCACAAGGATATTTAAACAAAAAATTTCATATGAAGAAATTATCGATGAGTTTGCCACTCATAAAGCGAGAAAAGGAAATTCTTAAAGTTTAAAATTAACACTGTAATAATAACTTGTAAATATAAATTGTATGCTTAAAAAAATTAATAAAATTAAAGGTATAAAAGAAATATCATCAAATTTTAATTGGTTAAAAAGCATTTTTTTCTAAGTTTTCCAGGGACGCTAGCGAGTCTTCTTACGCCACTGTCGGTCTGTTATGATTTTTCAAAATCCACTTTGCAGTATTTCTCGAGTCGTTCCAGCATTTGCCTCGTGGTCGGACAAAAATGTATTATAAATAATTAGTCATTACCATAGGCGTAAATAGGGGTGGGCTTAGGGGGTATTAGCACCCCCAATTTTACAATTAGCACCCTCAGATAATGTTCGTGTTTATGTATCAAAAACTTATTTTTGTCATCAGACATTTGACTATTAGAGTATACAACTGTAATGAAATATAAATGAAAACAATTTTACTTGACAAACGTCAATTCACATTTTGTCGAGTTCACCGAAACCTAATATAAATTAATTTTAAACCGGAACCCCGTCAGAACCTTTATTTGTATTTATTTAAAATTCGGCTCATTAAATCCTTATAGTTTTAATATAAATTAAATGACCAATAAATATAGAGCTTAAGCACCCTCAGTTTTTTTTATTGAAATTGCGCCTATGGTCATTACCGACATAAACTACAACTTCGTCTCGCCAATGTCTCGTCCTGTCAACGTGAAGCTTTTAATTTCTCATAGATCTGTAGTAAAAAAAATTTTAAAAAATACGTTGGTCCCGTACCTACAAACAACCGATTAATACAGCGTTACGTCATTTTTCTTATTCAATGGCATCGCGTTTAAATGTTGACTGCATTTTTTGGACTGTCTAACATATAGACTTTTATTTTTTAAAAATTAAAATTAAACAAAAATTTTAAAAAACCCTTTGGTGTTAAAAAAATTTAAAGGTACTTGTTTGTTATCGCCCCGCCAGTACACCGTATAAAATTTATCGCCCCGCCACTCTTGTTTGTTATCGCCCCTCCATAAATAAAAAAAAATTTCAATATATAATATTATTTTATTTTATTTTAATAGTTTTAAATATATAAATGTATAGTATAAAATTTAAATT